AACTGCATATAGAACTTGGTTCTACATCTTTGCGTTTTTGCATGATTTATATTTGTCTGAAAACAGGTCATTTCGTTAACCTCCTAGGATTTTCAGCCAACCTACATAAATCTGGTGCCATTTAAATCAGGAGACAGTCCTGTTAAAGATTTAGAGAAAACTTAAACTTTCCATAATATATGGCCACCAGCCACACCCTGACTGTACTGGTGCCTCGCCTATTTCAATCAGACAGCTATATCTCAGGCACGCTTCAGCCAATCACTACCAAATTTGGCTCACTATTGTAGGGCTGTACCACAGAGAGACCCTCCAAATTTCGTGTCGATTGGTCAAACGGGAGCGCTACGGCCACTGTTTACATATGTCTAAGACCCACCTAGGCCAATTGACCTAAAACGAGTTACCAGATCAGGTAGGAAGGTGTCTTCCGATCTCACCCATCTTACCAACAGCAGCAGGTGGCTCAGTTGGCTAAACCTGTGTAATCAGAGGGTCGCCGGTTCAAACCCAGCTTTGGTGGGTACTTGAGCTAGGCAGCCCGATGTGCACAGCATACTCTCCCACATCTACTGACCTGTTACGCCTGCACTAAAAGCATCTCCATCCTAATTTCTGCCTACTACTCAGACCATCTCACCAAAACCAGTCCTGCTCTGTCCTACATCTCCTATCCCAATAGACCTACACTAAATCTCCATCCTGTTATGGCAGCCTAATTCTGTCTGACTTTCTACTACCCTGGCCGCCAGTTCTCTGCCGTCATTCCTCTACTTGTACTACTTGTCCGATCATCCTAAGCTTTGGACCCTTCCGTCACTGCCTGCAGTTACTAGTTAATATTGTTCTTCTGTGATCTAATATGTCTCTCCGTTAGACCAAGTTGTATATTGGGTTGCTGACTATCTAATTTAATGAACCATACAACTAACTGACAGGACAGATATGCTGTACGGCTGAACGTGTTCCATGGCTGCCTAAAAGGATAGATATGCTATACGGCTGATTGAATCAAATCACCGCCTGACAGGACAGATATGCTGTATGGCTGAAGGAGTCCAATAGTGGCCTGATAGGACAGATATGCTGTACGACAGAATGAGTCAAATAGCCATTGTCATGGGTCAGATGATTGTTCCACTCTATCTGCAGAGATAGAGCCATTAATTACTAAACCAGACATGCTTAGAAATACTCTCCCTGCGAGCCATATAAGGCATTCAGGAGAGGCTGTGGGGGAGGACAGACACAGGTTTGTCACACCCTAACCCTAACTGAGGCTCCCAGCTGGCTCTTTAGGTCTTGACCACCGCTGTTTATATACAGAGTACTTTAGTTTGTTTTTCCTTCCCATTCCTTTTTTTTGTCAATCTTCCTGGGGACAAACGTTTTGTTTGACCACCGCCATCTGCATGCCCCTGTTCTTGGATCCTATTCACTTT